CTTTCTTTCTCTCTCTCTCTCTCTCTCTCTCTCTCTCTCTCTCTCTCTCTTTCTTTCTTTCTTTCTTTCTTTCTTTCTTTCTTTCTTTCTTTCTCATTGTATCTAACACCCAGTATCTAAGACTTGACCTCTGATCGAGGCTCATGACAATCAAAGAGTAGTGGCACAAGAGGAACAAAACGGTCATTTTCTCTTATTTTATGAAAGGCTAAAGGCCACAGCAGTGGCTTCCAGATCAGAACCTGAGTCCAAATGGTGCCTCCCTCAAGTTCTTAGTTGTATAATTTTAGACAAGGTACTGGATTTCCCTTTATTCTTGTTCCTCCACCTGTAAAACAGAGATAAATGATAAGACTTACCTCAGTGAGTGCTTGTAACATTAAACAAAATTACACTTGTGAAGCCAAAGCCTAGCACAAAGTGAATGCTTGGATAATATTAAATATTCCACTACATTACTATTATCATTACCAATAGCAATAATAATAATAATAATAGTACTTAAAAGTTGTGACCATCTCCCCTTGACTTGTCCTTACCATGTAAGTAGAAATGCTTTTGCTCTGAACACGGATGTGAATTTTCTGACATATTAGAAACCACTATTATAGACAGTTTTAGTTTTGTTTCTGTAGCTACAATAACATGTTCTAACCAAAAGTGACTTGAGGAGGAAAGGGTTTATTTGACTTACACTTTATATTGCAGTCAATGATCAAGCAAAGTCAGGGCATGAAACTGGAGGCAGGAATTGAAGAAGAGACTGTAGAGAAACACTGTACACTAGCTTGCTCTCCAAGACTCACACAGCTCACTTTCTTATACAGCTTAGGACCATCTGCCCAGGGGTGGTCTCCCACATTAAAAATGTCCCATAGACATGCCCACAAGCCAATATGATGGAGAAAATTCAATTAAGTTTTCTTCTTCTAAAACGTCTTTAGCTTGTGTCAAGTGGAAAACACAAGCCAGGTCATGGATTCTAATCTTATCTTTTTATGTAGCAGAGCACTGCTAAACTTTATGCAACTGTTTCAGTTTTCACATATGCCTCAACTACACATTAAAAACTTTCTAGGCTGACCAGCCACACTAGTGGAAGCCCATGAACTGTGGACTGGTGGCTGTGGAGCCCCCATGGAACTGGACTAGGCCCTCGGGACACGGAAGATGGTTGTTTGGCTCGAGCTGTTTGGGGGGCACCCAGGCAGGGGGATCAGGATCTGTCCCTGGTCTGTGGGCAGGCTTCTGGAATCTGGTGCCTGTGATGCGACATCTTAAATAGCCTTGGTGCAGTGGGAAGGGGCTTGGACCTGCCTAGGCTCAGTGTGCTGGGCTCTGCTGACTCCTCATGGGAGACCTTGATTAGGGGGATGTGGGGATGTTGGGTGGCTTGGGAAAGAGGGATGGGGATGGGAGGAGTGAGGAGGGGAGATCTGTGGATAGCATGTGGAGTGAGTAGAAAATTTCTTAATAAAGAAAAATGGAAAAAAATACACCAAAAAATGATCTGGTTCCTTAAAACTTTTGTAGTTGTGTATTTGCTTAACTTGACGTAACTATTATACCACAAGATCATAATTAATATATGATTAAATAGGCTTGATGAAGTTGCCTTTCCTCTCGAGTCCTGTCAGAGCTGCTTTTGCTCCTTTTTAAGTTACATAAGCTTCACAAGACAAGCCAAGGCCTCAAATAAATCCATTTAGGTTGACTAGACTACTTTGAATGTATAGATTAATTTGAAGTAAATTGATATTTCTTTAAAATGATGGATGCTTCATTTCTAAACTTGAAATTGTCCCTTTTCATTAAAGTTTTGTGTGCTTCAAAAACAAACAAACAAACAAAAAAAAAAACTTTCTAGGCTACACTGTCCTCAGATCAATTTGGTACTCCTGGATTCTAACTGGGCAATACCTTGGTACCAAGTATGTATTCAATAAATATTTTCTGGATGAATGAACAAACACCTTGGTAACCCCAAGGATACTGCAGTGAAAAAGCAAGCCCAACTGGGGAGATATTGATTTCTCAAGCACTTCAGTGCTTCCCCTGGGTTGCTCCCATGGCCTCATGTAAGAGGATGACAATCAACATACACACATTTATACTGATGATCCCTGCATCCTTGACAATTTCAAGAGATTTGCAATCAATGTATTTCACTGTGGCAGTGTCTCTGGTTCCCACATTTGGCTCAGTAGATGGAGCTTATCCAGAGATTTGATCCCAATCAGTGCTATTGTGCTTCCCTTGTGAGTCAGAAGGTTGCAAAACAGTTCTCCAGGCAGGGCCAGCCATGTCCTAAGGAGACACTGGGTGCTGCTGCTCCATGTGTTTCTTTTAGATGAAGCTCACTGGGTGTTTCTGTTTGCTCCTCTGTGAATGAGTGACTGGAAGCAAAGTTTCCTTTGAACTGAATATCTGCATCTTCCTGCTTTTGTCTGTACATTATTTCAGGTTCTTATTATTATTCTCTATTCAAATCATAAAATCCCAATTATTTAGCAGGGTATTCAAGTTCCCTTACGAACTGGTTCCTTTATCATTCTGGTTTATGTCCTACCACACTTTGCCAGGCACTCCGAACTCCATATGATTAGTTATCCAACCCCCTACCTTCTTATCACTAGCCAGATCTTAAAGATGACATAATGGGCCTGGTGGTGACTCTCACAGTACTACAATCTTTTATAAGTAAATACATTCAGAATAAAACAGAAGTAAAATGACTATGAGTATCCCAAAGTTAAAGGATAGAGGATTCTAAGGATGGCACAAGGCTGCATCATCATAGAGGTGTTCATAGAAGTCAGTAGATCTTCCAGAAGCTCTTTACAGGTCTGTTGACTCCAATCACTACTCTGTCATTAGTATGTCAGCAAGGCTCAAGACAGAGTAGGCATGAAAGAAATATTTATGCATTACAGCAGGAAGTGAAAACACTGAAACTAACGATGGAAATTTTAACCCACACATAATCTCATAACTAATTTTTCCACTCCCCATTCTTATGTGGAAGTTAAGAAGAACATACACACCACATTTAGAAGCAATATTAATGGGACTGCACATTAATGAGTACCTCAAGGTTTAAAATTATATTCTGTTCAAAATTATAATGAATTGTACATAAATCTATGAATGCAGGGAAGAACTATCTTGTCTTTATTTCATTAGAAACTAAGTGATAGAGGAAGATAAAGCACTTCGGATTCCTGGACTGAAGTTTGCTGGTATCTTCTTTTTCTTCCCCATTGTCATCTTCTCTTGAACTGTGGATCAAGCCAGGGCCTTGCTCCTGCTAGGCAAGTTCTCTACCACTTGGTTAGATCCCTCACCTTATTTGCCTTGAATTGCTCACCTTACCATCTCAGTTCTCCAGAATGCTGAGATGTCAGCTGTGTATCAGTAAGTCTGCCTTTCATGCTGTTTCTCCACATCTTCTCCCTCTTCTCCTCCTCTGCTTCCTCGTTTTCCTCCTTCTTTTAGACCAGCTATCATGTAATTCCAGCCTGGCCTTGAACTATCTATCTAGCTGAGGATGACCTTGAACTTCTGATCTCACTACCACTCACCACCACAACAAAATTCTGGGATTACAAGCTTGGAACACCACACCAATTTATGCAGTGCTGGGGATCAAATCCAAGGGCTCTGTGTATTAAGTTAACATGCTACCAACTGAGCTACAGTACTAGCATTCATCACTCGTTACTATGGATAAGTAAGCATATAACGGTTTCAATGATACAGGTACACATAATATAAATGAACAAACACTCTATTAGCTAAAACACTAACAATGGGAGTGGGTGATTCTCTGACTCCTTTGGTTGCTCTTGAGACTCTTGTTCTCTTATTGGGTTGCCTTTCCAACCTCTATATGAGGGATTTTTGACTTGTTTTATTGTATCCTGTTTTGTCCTGTTTGGCTGTTATCTCTTGGAGACTTGCTCTTTTCTGAAGAGATAATGGAAGGAGAGTGGATCTGGGGAAGAGAAAAGGTTGGGGAGAGCTGGGAGGAGTGAGGAAAAGGAAAATGGCCAGGATATGTTGTATGAGAAAAGAAACTATTTTCAATAAAAATAAAAAACTACTTATTTTTTTAAAAAAGCAATGCTCTATTGTAAAGAAAATCACAAGATGGGATTTGAAGAAGGAAACACTGATGAGTAAGACCAGCAGGCAGAGGAGTCTTTCATCTAGGACTACCTGCACACTCAAACAGAAGCAGCTGAAAGGATGAGATTGGAAGAATGTGGACCACCATAGATATCAAGTCTTAGTAAGCCATTCACAGTTTGAATGACAAATTCAAAGACCTCCACTCAAGATGAGACAGTAAACCATATAGCCTGGTCTTCTTAGGAACTCAATCTCTCAAAATGGCTCAAAGTAGAGTTCATTCCTAATATCTCCTAATATATTAATTCCCTTGTAGCAGGAAACTTCCTAGTTTCCATTGCAATTCTGATTATTATACATAAAACATCAATATACTATTTCTACTATTGATTAATAACATGAAGGGAAACAAACATCATTATGATGGTGAATCTTAATTATCAACTTAAGGAGAGCTGCAATGACTGGGGACACATGCCTCTGGATGGGTCAGAGAAAATTAACTGAGAGGAGAAGTCTGGTCCTAAGAAGGAGCAATACCATCCAATGGGTGACCCCACTGTAAAGACATTCAGTAAAAACCAGCATTGCTTGCCTCTCTGGGATTCTCCTGAATCTATCTATTGCTAATGCTACTTCTACTCCCCTCTTTCTCTGACATCAGATTCCAGCTCCAGCTGGGTTGCATACCAGAGACTCTGGAATCTTCTAGGACTTAGAAACTGCTGAGACATCTGACTTCATGAGTTGAACAGGTACCAAGTTCTCTGCCTTTCCACAGCCATTGTTGGACTACCTAATCCCTATCATCTAAAGATATCATTTATAATATATATTCATTCTATCAATTCTGCTCCTCTACAGAACTTTGCCTAATAAAGTCATAATAAAATATACCATCTAGCAATTTGGTATTGTTAAATCACAATATATGTTTATTTAGTATAGTGATTAATGAATTATTTTATGCAATATATAATGTAATTAATATCATTACAAACAGTTGATTCAATAAAATTCATATACTAGCTAATAATAATAGTAATACATTAACATTTATCAGCCATCCTATACATGAACATCCTGTATCCTATTGACTGGCCCAAGGTTTATATTTAAGAGTTTGTATTCAAGATTACTAAGCAAACAGATACAGAAAAGTACTACCTTTCAGTGCTACACTCATTCTTTTTAGATATCTCAAATTTGTTCATATCCATTGAAGAATGTGAAGCTCAGAAACTGACACACAGTTATGAGTCCTCTCAGCAACAATGGACCAATTTTCTCATAAAACTGGTTCCAGCCAGGAAATTTATGAATGTACTTTCCCACGAATTTTCTCTTTTTCAATAATATAGCTCATACTAGTATAGCAGAATTGATTTTAGGCCTTCAGTGGAAGTGTCTGCATTAATTGACTCATTAATTAATCCCCAAAATATCTTTTTAGTTATTGGACAGCATTGTCCAAGAGATTCCCTGTGGTGATATATTTGTAATCTAAGAAATAAAGCTTGCCTGAAGATCAGAGAACAGAGTCAGCCACAGAGTTAATCATAGAGGTCAGGCAGTGGTGGCACACACCTTTAATCCTAGCACTTGAGATCTCACACCTTTAACCTCAGTATTTGGGAAGTACACATGCCATTAATCCCAGCACTGGGAAGGCTGAGATAGGAAGTGAAATGGCTGGGTGGAGAAAGGCATATAAAGCATGAGAAGACAGGAACTAGAAGTCTTTTTGGCTGAGGACTCAGAGACATTCAGTCTGAGGATTTGTGGAGACAGAATCAGCTGAAGAGTTGGCGAGGTGAGAAGTGGCTGTGGTTTGTTTCTGCTGATTGTTCAGCATTTATCCCCCAGTATCTGGCTCCAGATTTTTATTATAAGACCATTTAGGATTCCTGCAACAATCCCCAAATACAGCCTATTGTTTTTTTCTTTGGTTGCAAGGTAGAAGGTAAGTCACTATTGCTGAAGAATTACACACTTCCGAAACAGGGCCCAGAGACCCCCCCTTGGCTGGAAATGACATGAATGTCCTCTCCTTGAGGACCAGCATTTGCAATAGCACAAAGCATCATGCAAGCTTCCAAAGAAGGGAGGCAACCAACAATTCTATCCAGCTATTACGCCTATGAACCACATCAAATACTAGTCTGGCATGGTTACCCAAGGGTGCAGTAGTGGCACACATACCTTGATGGTAGCCAACAGCTCTCTGATTGCACTTAAGATCTACTCAACAAGAGAGAGACCATACCTGATACTGGAAACTTAGCTAACTGCCCTGTTCTAGTTATGTCATTCTTATTGAAGGAAAACCAATAACCACTAATTTACTAAACCAAACCAACCCCTAACAACAATCTGTAAACATGTGTTCTTATCCCACAGATAAGTGTAATCTTCACTCTTAGTTGAGAAAACTTCTCTTTGCTGTAGACTGAGACCAATACAGTTAACCATATCCAATTAGCATGCAGAGTTGTGGAATCCAGTCCCAAAGGATAACTCTACAAAACACTCCAACGTCTAAGGATGAGGACAATTGTAGATGAGGAAACAGAATGATTGTAAAAGCCAGACGATCAGGGAGTCTTCTGTGAGAGTATGTCTCCTAGTAGCATCCCCAATTACACAAACATGACTGCCCAACTGTGAGCTCAACAAGATGGAACCAATGGATATGCCAAAGTGCACAGGAAAAAGTTCAAGAGAGCTGTCAATCTTACACAAAGAACTAGAGGCAATTGAGGAAAGCTGAGAACATAAGCAGCAGCATCCCCCAGGGAAAAGCATACCAATTTATGTTTCAGTGCCAAACAGCCAGCCATGAAAACAAACACTCAAGTAACATTATACAGACTGAAAAGGTAATATTTTGGAATTTATATGCACACACACATATATGCAATATTAATTAATGAAAAAAGAGGCAATGAATCTGAAGAAGAGCAGAGAGAGGTATATTGAAGGGTTGGGGTTAAGAAATGTAAGGAGAAAATGTGATTATTGTATAATTTTAAAAATAATTAAAAAGCATAGATAACAAAAATATAAGCATACTAGTAAATAAAATGGAAAAATAACAGTGTCTACATGAAGCCCTTTCTAGAAAATGAAGACAGATAAGCACTCTTTAAATAATATAAAGTCTTGGGTGTGTATAAGTAATGTGGGCAATTGAAAATTAAGATATTAGGGAGATGAGATGCTCATAGGGTTGTGGACAGAGTAAGTATAAAGTAACCTGCTCAAGAATGCCTCAGTGAGAAGTGGTGATCAGAGGCCAGTCTTAAAGGAAATGAAGGCAGAATTCCCAGCAAAACAGATGATCCATGCTAAAGGATACCACCCATGAGTTCAAGTTTTGTAGCCTCAAGAACTAGAATTTAAGTTGTTAGAAGTTTAGGTGGGAAAGATTGCAGGTGGGGTGAACTTCAGAGGCTTCACAAAGATTCCATATGAGTCATATTAATTTTTAAAAGCTACTGGTTATCTAAGTGGAAATGTCTGAGTAAGTGATTAGATACATCAGTTAGGGGTTGAACGAGAGGTCTGGGCTTTAGTTGTCAAAATCTAGATGACACTCAAAGCCATGAAAACAGATAAATACATGAAGGCAGTGGATTCAGATAAAGAGGGTAAGATGTCTATGGACCAGCCCTGGGCTGCTTCTATACTCACTGAGGGAGAAAGAAGAACATGAAGCTGTACAGAGATGTCACTGTCCTGAATGGCACAAAATACTGGTAGTCCACATGGGGTGTTTCTAATAAGCAAGAAAGATAAAAACAGCACAGAAATAGCACATGAAGATCACTAGTGACCTTGAGGAGGAGAGTGCCAACATTACAATGCAGAGCTGTGATTTCTGCTTCATCAAGCTGTAGCTTTCTACAGCGGGAAGTGGGAGTTGGGAGGAATATGTAGATGCTTCTCCCCACTCATGCGTTGTTTCTGTGTGGAAGTCCAGGGCAGGAAAGTATTGGGATCTTCTACCAACAACACTCTGTGCTTTGGAAGTTGTATCCTGAGAAGCTTCCAAGCGAATGCTTTCCTGCACACTGACATTGGACTGTTTGATCTGAACATGCATTAAATTGGTAAGCGTCTGTGGTGGTTGTGCCTTTGATGTGGGTATTTTCATTCTATATTTTCTATTTTATTGAAAACTGTTTCTGGTCTTCCCTGTCTTCTTTATTGTCCTTCCCAGGAAAACAGTCAATTGACTTTTTGCTGATGGCAGGAAGAATTAACATCAATGTTCATAGTTACTGTACTGCTATTCAATATTATGTCCAGTTTTAACATTCATGATCTGTTGTCATGTGGTATAAAGCTTTGATACATGAAAGATTTTGTTTTATTAACTTTCTCCCTAGTATTTTTCTGAAGTTTGTTTGGTGGAATCTGTTCCAGGAGAAGCCATGGTGTTTTATTGTGATCAAGTCTCGCACCCCACATGATAGTAGGAAACCTGTTTGCAACCATACCTCTTTCTGAGATCAAGCCATGCTTACCCATCTAAATTTCTTGAGGATTGCTATTTCTCCTGTTTTGAAAAATGCTATTTCTCCTCTTTCTACCAGGCTTAGCCTGCCTATGGTATTTGGCATACCTCCAATTCTCCATGATATTCTTGTGTTAGTAGGAATTTCATATTTTTTGAACAGCTTTTCATTAACACAATCTCAAATTCAAAGTTGGCAAAAGATGTCTTTTTTTTGAGAAAAAAAAAATAGTTTTCCTAGTAAAAAGGAAGTCTAGGCTGGTTTTCTGACATATGTTACTGTATTTACAAAATAAACTGTTTTTAGGGATCAGTTTATAAATTCAACATAAGGTTTACTATTTCTCTTCAGTTCCTTTGAACTTTGAGTTTTCCTATATAGCTGACACAGGAAACCACGTGGAATTTAGTCACCACATAGTTGCAGAAATATACAGTCAATCCTTTGTTTCTGCATTGTGTGGCTAATTGGAAATGTGACTTTGGGTTAAAGAAACTAGGATTGAATTCTGGTTCTGCCACCAACAAGTTCTGTAATCTTGAAGGTCACATCTATTCCTGTAAATTTCTTTTTATCATCTGCCAAATAGGGATAAATATGAATGAGCCACAAGTTGCTGCCTTTTAATTATTCAACAAAATGATTGAATGTCTGTTTGTATGCCAGGACCCACATTAAATGCTGAAGATGGACCAGGCTAGATATGACTCATTTGCTCAGAATATCAAAAATAGGTATGTGAACCCAATAAAAACTGAATGTTATCATTTATTCAATAAAAGATTATATTGTAAATATAACATTTTCATACACATGAGAAATGTTGGCTTCAGTCTATAAAACAACCCTGGATTCTTCTCATATATAAGGATCTCTGAAATAGATGGAGAATTAAAAACTGTAAAGTCTCATCAAGTGGTGTAATTGCCATGTGGGCATGGAAAATATAACATAAATATAAATTGTCAGCTCCCTTAAAATCTCTTTGAGTTAAGACACCATGATGAAGCAATTATCTCTGTCTTCATTGTACTTGAGGCAAACTTCAAAGTCATCTTCAATTTATATGAGACTAGGAAAAATTGTGATGTAATATTTAGTGTAGTAGGTTAGACTTCCTTAACCTCTGAAAATAGTAAGTGATTGGGTATGTCACTGAATCTCTGCAAATAATAAATGTTCTGGGTACACTTTCACAATAAAGTGAAAAAATATGCAAGAGACTGAAATCAAGAATGGCCCCTATGTTTGAGGCTCATATGTTTGAATAGTTGGTTCCCATTTGGTGCAAGTGTTTGTGAAGGATTAGGAGGTCTGGTCTTGGAGAAAGCGTTCACAATGAATGGGCTTAGAGGTATCAAAAGGCTTACTATCTTTCCCAATGTGCTCTCTGCCTCTTGCCTGTGGTTAGAGATCTGATTTCTCAGCTATTCCCATATGGACTCCACCCCTCTGAAACCATAAGCCCAATGAAACCTTTATATGTTGTCATGGTGGCTTTTTGTTTTTGTTTTTGTTTTTTACAGCAATAATACAGTAACAGACATACCTCCTGACACTAAAATACCCTTATGAATCTGCATTTATCTTTCTTAATGAATGTAATAATTTATAATCTTAGGTAAGCTGTCTGATTTTTTGAACCTTCTCAATTATCTTACTTGTAAAATGGAGATATTAATAACATTTGTTGTGAAGCAAATAATAGTGCCTGGAACAGAATGATCACCACTATATTTGCTATCATAGTAAAATTGGTGGAGGTAATAATACTTAAAATTAGTAGCACTCATGATATATTTTTACTAGATGGATTTCTATTAAATATTTCTAGGAAATATATTAGATAAATAAAAATACCCAAAAATGCAAAGTTGGGAATTTTGACAGTGTCATATGTACATATACAAATCATATGATCATTAATATGGAAAATCCCTTTAGAGATAAGATGTGAGATTTAATAAAATATTTTATTTAGCATAGCAGCTAAATTAGTACAAAAACTCCATTTAATTTCCATACTCATACAATATATTACAATAATATTGGTTGTAATTGTATCGAGAAATAAAGGAAGGAGAAGCCTAGCCCAAAGACACAAAAATATTATTATTATTGTTATTAGTAGTAGTAATTTTTTGAGACAGGGTTTCTCTGTGTAGCTTTGTACCTTTCCTGGAACTCACTCTGTAGTCCCGGCTGGGCTTGAACTCATAGAGATCCACCTGCCTCTGCCTCCTGAGTGTTGGGATTAAAGGCGTGCACCACCACCGGCTGGCCAAAAAATATTTTTAACAAAATCATAGAATAAAACTTCCCCACTCTAAAAATAGGTGTAACTGAAAGTTTTCCTGTGCCCATCCGGCTCCTGTGTTCTCAAGGTCCTGCAGCTGCTCAGACCCAAATGAACACACAGAGGCTTATATTAATTCTGAACTGTATGGCCTATTGGCTCAGGCTTCTTGCTAGCTAGATCCGACATCTTAAATTAACCATTTCTATACATCTATACTTTGCCATGTGGCTTGTGGCTTACTGGAATCTTTATATCTTACTTCTCATGGCGGCAGCTGGCAGCGTCCTCTGTGTTCTGCCTTTCAACTTCCTCCTCTCTAGTTAGAATATCCCGCCTAATCCTATTCTGCCTCCCCATTGGCCAAACAGCTTTATTTATCAACCAATCAGAGCAACATATTTTCACAGCATACAAAAAGACATTCCCCCATCAAATAGATGTGTCTATTTAGGTACGAGAAGTATACAGAGCCCTTTGTCTCATTAGCTAACATACTAGGCTGTCTTTTCCTTGACAATTGCTGTCCATCTCAGTCAGGGAATCAGTCTCTCCCTGGAAACCCACTGGACTGGGTAGACAGGCAAACAGTCTTCCTTTCTCTTCCCATGCCTTTCCTCACTTGCCAACACACAAGGCAGTCTCTCCCTGGAAACCCTCTGGCCAATCAGAGACGTAATCAGGTAAGTGATTTTTACTTTCATTCCTGTTCTCCAATTCTAATTTACTAGTGCCACTCCCAGTCCTGTAGCATACCACCTGCAGAGGCCTATATCCCTTCTCTTCCTCCATTCCCTGTGGAGTGCACTGATCCTCCTGCCATACCAAGCCTTCTTCTCCTTAGTGAAGAGAAGAAGCCCCTCAATCTTCTAGACTACCCCCATTCCTGCATCTCAGCTAGAAATACCTATAAACAAGTTTTACCTTCAACCCTGAGTGGTCACACCTGGCAGGGCCCTACAAGCACTGCCTCCCAGTTGACCCACAGTCATCATAGGCTCCAAAGATCCAAGAGGGCAACCGAAACCAAAGATCAGAAAACTGACTCAATAAAGATCAGACCAGATATCAACACTTAGAATTACAATTATTCCAAACTCAATTGCCTGGGGTCCAGTGTGAAAACACAATCAAAATAGACAGGAAAATATACCTCCAAGAGAGCTCAGTAACCCTACTATAGTAGGCTCTGAGAAATGCAATATAGTTGAAGTCTAAGACAAAGTATAAGAACTTGAAGTATAAGACAAAGACTTCAAAATCGTTATGAATATTTTCAAGGGCCTTATAAAAGATATGAATAAATCCAATAATGATATCAAAAAAATACATACAGTGGAATGAAATGAAGAAAACACTTCAAGACACAAAAGTAGAAATAGAATAACTAAAGAAAACCCAAACCAAGGTCAAACTTAGTATGAAAAATCTAAAAGCTTACACAGAAACCTCACAAACAAGCCTCACCAATAGACTATGAAATGGAAGACAGAATCTTACGCATTGAAAGCAAGATAAAAGAAATGGATACCTCAGTCAAAGAAAATGTTAAATTTAAATAAAAGCACATCCAGGCACAAAACATTAAGGAATTCTGGGACACTATGAATAGAACAAATATACAAATAATAGGAATAGAGGAAGGAAAAGAAACCTAGATCAAAGGCACAGAAAAATATTTTTGACAAAATCATAGAAGAGATTTCCCCTAACCTAATGAAGGAGGTTCCTATCAAGGTTCAAGAAGCACACAGAATACCAAGTAGACTGGACCAGAAAAGAAATTCCCCATGGCACATAATAATCAAAACACTAAATATATAGACCAAAGAAAAAATATTAAAACCTGAAAGGGAAAAAAAACCATGTAAAGGTAGACCTTTACAGGGTTAGAATAACCCCTGACTTTTCAGTGGAAACTAAGTGAGCAGGGCCTGGATAGATGTGCTACAAACTCTAAGAGACCACAAATAGCAGTGATATTAGTGAGACTACTATACTCTGCAAAAACATTCAATTAAAATAAATGGAGGAAAAAGACATTCCATTATAAAAATCAATCTTAAGCAGTATCTATCTACAAATATAGTTAGGTTCTATAAATCCAGAGTAAGGTGTTAGAAGGAAAATCTCAACTTGACGAGGTTACCCACACCCAAGAAAACACATGGAATAAAAAATATCAGATCAGAAAATTGAAGGGGAGAATACCCACACTATAATAACAAGATAAGAAGAATGAACAAATACTGCTCATTGATAACTTTCAATGTCAATGGTCTCCTTCCCCCATTCACCCACCTGAAATAAGACACAGAGTGACAGAAAGGATTTGAAAACATAATCTAACCTTCAAATGCATCTAAGAAACACATGTTAACACCAAGGACAAACACTACCTCAGGTTAAAAGGATAGATAAAGGTATTTCAGGCAAGTGGACCTAAGAATCAAGACAGTGTGGCCATTTTAATGACAAAATAGAATTCAAGCCAAAATTAATCAGAAGAGATAGGAAAGATAGGAAAAATCCACAAAGAAGATTTTACAATTCTTATCATCTATGCACCAAACCAAAGTGCACTCAAGTTAAAAACAAAAACAAAAACAAACAACAAGCAAACAAAAACTGTACTACAGCTTAACTCACATATTGATCCTCACACAGTGACAGTGGTTGACTTCAATACTCCACTCCCACCCATAGAAAGGTCATCCAGACAAAAACAGAGGACTGATGGAACGAACTAATCCCATAAACCAAATCAACCTAACAGATATTTACAGAGCATGTCACCCAAACACAAAGGAATATACCTCCTCAGCACCTGGAGGAACTTTCTCCTAAACTAATCACATACTCAGACACAAAGCAAATCTGAACAGATAACGGAAAATTGAAATAACATTCTGCATCCTATATAACCACCATGGATTAAAAATGGATATTAACAACAACAGAAACAAAGAGAAGCTTACAAACTTGAAAACTGAGCAGCTCACTACTGAATGAAAAATAGGTCAAGACAGAAATTAATAAAGAAATTTAGTGTTCTATAATTGAATGAAAATACAACATACCCAAATTGATGGAACAAAATAAGGGTAATTCTAAGAGGAAGTTTATAGCAATAAATGCCTACATTAAAAAAAAATTGGAGAGATCTAGTATCAGTAACTTAACCGAAAACCTGAAAGTTCTAGAACAAAAAGAGGAAATGATACCCAAGTAGTGTAAATGGCAAGAAATAATCAAACTCAGTATTGGAACCAATAAAATAGAAACAAACAAACAAATAAAAAATTTGAAACAAAGAGTTGGTTCTTTGAGAAAATCAATGTTTGACAAAACTTTAGCCAAATTAACCAAGAGGTGGAGGGGAAAGATCCAAATAAACATTAGAGACAAAAAGTGAGACATAACAACAGACACTAAGGA